CCACAGTGGTAGCACAAGCTTCCAGCTTCAATCAGCATTCATGTCCTCCAATTTCATTTTCCTGTTGGTCATGCACAGCCAGCACGGCGCATTGCATCATATCTACAACTTCAGAGAGGCATTTGGGCATTTCAGAATGCCTGTCTGACTGCAGATACTTGGGTGACTGCCGTATTACAGACATCAGCTTTGTAGGGAAAAGAGCTTCTCAATAACTACAGTTGTCTGAGCACAGCTATATCTATACAAAAGACTAACAGCAGACTTAAAGGAAAACAACAACAACAAAAAATCACAACATTTTTTTGAGAAAAAAAAAGTATTAGGAAAAGACAGCACTTCAGACACAGTAGCTAGAATAGTTCTACTTCGACATTATGCAGTCAGAAGCTCAGCACTGGGTAAAATTAGCAGGAGGCATGGCAGGTACAAAAGCATGAAGGCAGTTTTTTACCTGGCAGCAATGTACCAGGGTATACTGCAAGTACTTCTAGCCACATGTCCAATCTATTTAAGCATGGGATAAATTATGCAAGAGGGATGAATGAAAAAAAACACAACACATTAAACATTTTAAGAAGGTCCTTAAGTGCTAAGAGGTCATAACGCCTTCAGTTTATATTGCTATGGATATTCAGCTGTCTATTTTTACAGGGGCTGCTTCGAAAGTAATGCCTCCTATTTTGTTATGTCGGCTGCTGATGCCAGACGCAGATGTTAGTAGCATGGCAGTAAAGGCTGAAGCTTCCCACCAGTATTCCATTACAGTTTGTTGCCATGCAATTGATGGTAGCAGGGGGGCAGTTTGACAAAACAGTGTCTGACATGGAAGTGTGCATGAAGCAGAAGTGTGCCAATGAATTTTTCCATGCAGAAAAAATGGCATCCACTGACATTCATCAATGCCTGCTGAACGTTCATGGAGACCAAGCTGTGGATGTGAAGACAGCGAGGTGGTGGGCGGTGCATTTCAGCTAGTGTCACTGGTGACAGTGACAAAGGGTCCCCTTCACTGATGCAGATATTTAGGAGCATGGCTTTCATTCACCACTGGTGAAAATGAATAGCTAATGATGGTGACTATGTTGAAAAACAGTGTTTATAGCTGAGAATTTGCTCTATTGAATAATACTAATTTGTTCTTGTGATAAGGTCACTTTTTTTCAATCACTATTTTTTCCCTGATGTATTTAAAAGACAACAGTAATATATTTTCAGCTTTAATTATGCTGGAGTAAATAGGCTAGATTTCTCAAAACTGCTTCAGTTCTATTCACAGTATTCTATCCTCCCACTTTTAAGCTGCTTATATGTTTGGCAACACTGAATTTTATCTCATCAAAATGTCAGCAACCTGAGAGTATAGCATTTTCATCTTTCTAAAGCAACTCAGAATTTTATGATTTTGATAACAAGGTTGTTAAGGCTCCCCTAATGACAATAACTTTCACATGACTTTCAAGAAGGCTTAAAATGAAATATCAGCATGTTCTTCACTAAGGTGGCAGCAGTTTCCCATAGTCTGAAGAAGGATTCCCACTGCTTAGAGTTGAATGAGTGACAGACTACATTTCACATTCTTTAACGAGCCATGACTTCTCATTATTTTACTTCCACTGAAACAAATTTAATTGAGATGATTTAAAAACATTTCTTGCTAATCTTCACAGTCATAACTCTCTGCCAGTCAAAAAGAAATAAAGCAACAATAAGCAGGTTCCTTCTCTTCCTGAAGAGAAATGAGTCTCAAAGTCTTGCTACCCTGTGCTTTCAATTGGAACTGTAACATCTGATATTACTTAGCTCTTCAAAACTTTCAGCAGATCTTCAGAATCAAATAAATCCTGTTGTAGAGCTGGGAGTATTGGTGGTAGTGATGGGAAGAGTTAGTTGATAACAAAAGCATATTGAATATTTCTGTTTTTCTATAGAATATCTTCATTATCAAATGAAGATATAAAATTAGGTGCTCTTTGGAATGCTGTTTTGATGAAATTCTAATGGAAATATGAGGGCTATAGCACATCCAGAGCTCAGGCTTGCCAGCAGCTGCCTTAAAGGCAATAAGAATGCTGAAGTCCCAGAAGCCGAAGGAACTTAGTAAAAACACATAGGCTCCCACGGTGCACACCCAGTGGGCTGATATCACAGCTCGCAGGCTTTCTGTTTTTCAAAGTGTTCTCTATCTTTAGAGACCTATTTTAGATCAGAATATCATTTTACTGGGCTCAATATCATGATTAAGAAAGCTACACATCAGACAAACATGCTGATTTTCATCCTACATACTTTGTAGGATTCTAGACTATATCAGAAAAGATATCAAATCATACTATCAAAACCAAAATAATATGTGTTATTTTATAACAGCCCCAGGTACAAATCTGATCAAAAAATCTATCTCATATTGTTCAGTCCCTACATCAACCTGACTTAGCTTTGAGCACCACTTCTTCCTCCTTTCCAAGAAATTACTGACACTACGCTCAGTAGACCTTCTGCAATGGGATCAGCACTGCTGTCCTTCCATTTGCCTCTGGAACCTCTTCTGTATATCTAGAGACTCTAAAGTGGAAAAACATGAAACTTTGAGCTCAAGAAGGTCAAACACCTATGATTTTTGAATAAAATTTTTAACTGAACCAAAACCATTTGAGCATGTCATGTCCACTAAAGCTATGGGAGAAAAAAAAAGAGGCATTAGTGGAGATAAGGATTTTGGTGTTAACTGAAGAAATGGCCTGATTTGACTAAACAAACCCTATTGTGTATATACACCATGAGAATGTTAAAAGTTTAGGCATTGTTCCATAGGAACCACTGCCATTAAACATTTCTTTAGATATCTGAGAAGAAAACCTTTTTAAAATACCAAGCAACTCTCTAACTATTCCCTAAACTTCACATAGTTTCATAAAGTAAAGCAAAGTTCTTAATACGCTTCAGCAGATTAAAAACAATAATAGTTTGCTGCGGGAAAACATAGATTTGGAATTCTACAGGGTCAGATTTTAATGAAACGCCACAATGTATCTATCTCATGCAATGAAGGCGAAGAAGTTTCGACTGTTGAGACAGACTGAAGGCACAGAGAACGACAAACTGGTTTAAACTCCACCATATCATACAATCGTAGAATTGGAAGGTTGGAAAAGACCTACACAGATTATCTTGTCTACCTACTCCACCACAGGCATGGACATCTCTTATTACATCAGGCTGCCCAGAGACTCATCCAACCTTATCTTAAACACTTTCACAGTTAAGCTTTGTGAATCGTCAGAAAATGCAAAATAGCCAATGCTTTTATAGCTCCATCTGTATTCTCAGATCAGGTAGTTGTAGGCAGCAATATGATCCTCAATCTGTTTCTTTTCCCAGGCTGAACAGGCTCAGCTCTCTTAGTCTCTCTTCATTGATAATGTGCTCTAGACCTTAGGCAGCCCTCCACTCTCTTTTTTCCAGCACCTCAAAACTCTTACTGTATTGGGAGCCAAAACTAGACAAAGTTGTCTCACAGATGTTGTCTTACAGAATAGAGGAGAGAAAACACCTGGACCTGGTGTCAACTCATTAAAAACACAGTCCAGAACACATTCAGCTTGCTGTCTTTTCAGATACTTGGCTCCCAGTCTGCAGAGTTGCCTGAGATTATTCCATCCCACAGGCAAGACTATTCATTTGCTCTTGAACTCCACAAGATTTCTGCAGCTCATTTCTCTGGCTGGCCAAGGTCCCCATAACAGCAGCCCTGACCTCCCAGTTTGAGCCACCCCCATTTGTGTCATCTGAAAACTTACTGAGAGTGCCCCTCATCCCATCATGCAAACTGTCAATCACAGAATTGCAGGGATTGGAAGGGACCTCAAGAGATCATTGAGATCTAGTTCGCACAGGCAGGCATCCAGACATAGAATCATAGAATTTTAAATTGGCATAGGCTGGGAGGGACCTCAAGGATCATCAAGCTTCAAGCCCCCTGACACATTCAGGGCCACCAAATTCCACATCTACTATTAGATCAGGCTGTCCAGAGCCCCATCCAAGGAGACTACACAACCTTTCTAGGTGACCTGTTCCAGTGCTCTCTCACCCTCACTGTAAAGAAGGAGGACATTAATAGTATGGGTGCCAGCACTGATCTCTGAGGGACCCACTATATAATAGGCACCAGACCGGCTTCGCACAGCTTTTCACAACTCTATGCCTGTTTTCATCTGTTTTGTCTTTTTTCTATCCTCTTTACCACTACATGTTCCATTGTTTTTTGGTGGAGCTACAGATGGAGTTTATTGGAGGCTGTCAGAGGTTGCTAAAATCAAAGTGCGTAACAGCCACTTTATCAGTAACAATTTATTCTTTAAACTAATCTTTCAAGTGAAATATACCATAAGACTGTTACATACAAATGCATTTCCAAACAAGAAAACACTGCACTTTAATAGCGCAGTGCTCGGTGTCACATAAAAGTCATAGAAATGACCTGTCATTATATACCACAATTCAATCATTCATTATATTATATAGCAGTTTAAGCTGCAGACTGTTTGACATCCGGCTTTACAATATCCCAGGGTTTTAGCTGTTAATTACCTGCTCTCTGCAGTGGCATTATACTTATTAGGTAGTAAGCACCTATAGTAAAACCTGTGGAAAAATGAGTGTGTTTCACATGTTAACTTAAGTCAACAATATTGCATAGGTATTATTTACTCATATTTACAAGTTTGACTGCAAATCTCCAGCCTTTATACCATCTTGCTCCAGGCACAGATGAATAATGGAGGAAAGAGCTCTACAGTATCTCTCAAAGTATATTACAAAAGAAAAAAAACCAAAACAAACTTAAAAAGACACCTTAACATCTAAACCCCGAAGTTCTTGTTTACACCAAATTCGTTTAAACTTCATATTTTTCTCTGTTGTTTTAATTCATCTGAGTAAGACTTTGATGTACAGCTTGATTACTTCAAGCTAGAGATGCAGTACCAGTTGCTTACCTGACTCACACGCAAATGTCTTTGACGTCTCATCATGAAAGATAATTGCCACTGCATGCTTCTTTGTCTCTCGAGGCAATCTAGTTATGTTTTTGATATTGTGCAGCTCAGTTACCTAAAAATGAAGAAAAATAACTTGTATAAATAATACAAGTAAAAATACTACCCATAAGCGCTCAATTTTTTGCTACCATCTATTTTTTTTCTCTCAAAGGCTGGCTATATTTGTAGGTTTGTCACTGACAAAAATACATAAATTAGTTAAAATCTAAAGTTACAAATAATTCCATAAAATCTAATTAAAAAAAGATGAATAGTCTACTTCTCTAATGAAGTTCTGCTTGTAATAACTGCATTTTCAAAGATACTGGAACTCTTGCTATTCCTCTGTAACTTTTCTTAATTTCTATATTCATACAACTTTGTTATGTTTAAGAATCTACATTAAATAGATATCTAATGTAGAAACAGCAGTGTTTTATTAGTTAAGGGAAGGAAATCAATGGCTGTGCCAATCAGTAACACTATACTTATGTGGTGTAGACTTTGTCTGTCTTTAAAGTGTAATCATAATCCTCATAACTCACAATTTCATTTTTCAAATAATAGAAAAGCTTATCAATAAAAAAAATATTCTTACAGCAAATTTACAGAATAAACAATCAATTTCCAGCTTGCTTTGATGAAAGTACATGACTACAATCAACAAAAATAAAGGAATATTATTTCATTACAGAGTTGGTAACACAGTCTATATTATGATGTTTAACACTTGTTATAAAATGTTCTTGGTTACTTCTACTTCTTGGCAAATCTTGTCTGTTTATCTATTAGTTAAGTTTTTCATCCAGGCAGGACATATGCCTCAGGCAGAATTAATTTCTTTAAAATGTCATCACTATAAGTTTGGTCACGTATGGATAGGGAAAAAAATAGAATGAAAGTAGGTACTTTATTACTTTCCATTCTTATGGTCTGTGCACAGCTCTAACATTCCTGCTAAGATGCTAAGAAAAAAGGTTTTATGAGATATAATCTTCATCTTCACTGCTTTAAGAAAAAAAAAAAAAAAAAAAAAATAAATTTTTAAAAAAATTATTTTTAATTGTTTAAAAAAAAAAAAAAAAAAAAAAAAAAGAACATGTTAGAGTAAAGATTTCTAAGAGTTGAGAGCAAACACAGCAATCAAGAAGAAATGGAAAGAAACTGAGACAAAGCACAAAGTGGACAGTACAGATGCTGATGACAAACTTGAGACTTTGACTTCAGCAAAACTCACTCTATTTAGCCTCTGCTGCACAAGTTGGGTCTAAAATGGCTCCAGATATGGTCTAATAAGTATAGCACATATACAGATAAACACTGCCTGTACTGGCAGTAGTGCTCCTGTTCATACAGCCCAGTGAACTGCTAATTACCTTTGCTATTTGAGACTAAGCTCACTGCCCCCCCTCTCTTCCTGCAGGGCTGCTTGCAGTTTGTCTGTCCCCATCCTGTCATTAGAGGGCTCTCCATTCCACAGACAGCACTTGGTCCAGTCACAAGGTCCCTGTTGGCCTATTCCTGCAGCCCACTCAGGTCTCTGACTTTGGGCATATCAACACAACTTGATATCATCTGCACAAGTGTTGAATGAATGCATCCTCTGTTACCTCCTCCAGTTTCTTGATGACAGTGATACCCAAGAGATGTCCCAGAATATACTTTGAAGACAGTAGCAGTCTTACACTTATTATTGACTTCCTGGTGGAGAACAAACCATTAACTATGACATTCTGAATCTAACAACTTGACCAGCTTTTTGCAATATAGACATACATCCACCCACCCAGTCAGATTATAATGCCTGAACTTGGATACAAGAACATAGAGGGGGACAATGTCAAAAATTTTGCTAAATTTGAGGTAATCAATGGCAGACATTGCTCTCTCTTCATTCCCACCTCTGGTGATTTCATCACAGATGACTAATCAGATTGGTCAGGTATCACATACCCTTGGTAAATTCATGCCATATCCCAATACCATCTTTTCCTTTACATACTCAGAAATTTGTTTTAAAAGAACAGTCTCCATGGTTCTTCCCATATTCTAAGATGAGATTTTTCAGACCCTTAGTTTGCCCAGGGTGATCTTCGGACTTCATATATACATATGAATATATATATATTTTATATATATATATATTATATATATATATAAATATAAAATGCAAACAAACAAATAAATAAATAAATTTAAGGACTAAAGCACTTGCATTAGCAATGGGTTCTTAATCCAGTACAATTTTAATTTCAGCCATGCATTTTCTAGGCTTTGCAAAAATCTATTTGTTTTTCTATTTTTTGCTTAGGGGACAAGAAAGGATCTGACCAATGCAAATATCACTGTTTCATTCAGAGAAAGTGCATGACTGCACAATATTGTAGAAAATTCTTAAATCTTGTTATGCTAAAAATGGGAAATGTTATTTTCTGGAATTGCAGGAAAGGAAACATAAATGTTATTAATAGTGACAACAGGACATAATAAGTCTTCTTTCAATCTCTCTTAAACAGTAGAAACCTATTATTTTCTTTATAATTTAAGCGTTAAAAGATTTTGAACGCCCTCTTCTTAGAGGCATTCAAAGCCAGGCTGGATAGGACTTCAAGAAATCTGGTCCAGAGGGGGATGTCCCTGCCTATAGCAGGGGCGTTGGAACTGGATGATCTTAGAGGTCCCTTCCAACCCACATCATTCTATGATTCTTCTACAGAAAGATCCTGCAGTGTTGGTAAGTTTAATAGCAGATTCAGAAAACTTGCATTACTGGTACCCAATTCCATCCTCTAAAAGCCTCCTTCATATATTTATATACGTTGCTTAGATCCCCCGCTCTGTCTTCTCCATGCTGAACAATCCCAGGTCTCTCAGTCTTTCCTCATATGAGCAATGCTCCTGTTCCTTCATCATCTTTCTTACCCTTCATTGGACTCTATCCAGAAGCACCATGTTTCTCACATGCTGGAAGACCCAAAATTGGACATAGCCTTCCAGGCGTGACCTCACCAGTTCTGAGTTGAGGGGGAGGATCACCTCTTTTGACTTGCTGGTGATACTTTGCCTAATGTATCCCAGTATACTGTTAGCCTTCTTTGTGGCAAGGGCACATAATGATGTTGATGTTTATCAAGCTGTATATAAGTATTTGCTCTAGTTATAACTATTGGACCAGTCAACAGATTGACCAGAAAAAGAAAAAAAAAAAAAAAAAAGTTAATAATATCAGCTCATATTGATGAGATAACAAAAAGGGAGGTCATGCTAAGTTATATGGCCCCTAGTATTTCTATTGAACATGTAACTTTTAAGATCAAGTGGAGGTATGAATCTTTGTTCCTATATTCATCTTTTGAAATTATATGCTTCCCCTCACAATCAGAGCAAAAAAGACAGAGATGAGCAATAATGCTACGAATATCTTTCCTCCCACCTTCTAGAGAGAACTGAAGCTGAGCAAATTCTAAATTCAGGGTTTAATATTAAAGAAGCATGAGTCATTTTTCTAACTGCTGAATGTTTGTCATTAAAAAATAAATATCTTAAATATCTTAAATTAAAAAATAAATATCTTAAAAATTTGTATTCTTTTGTATGAATGAAAAACAAACTTTGTTTTGGCAACCAGACTGCTGTATCTTAGTGACTTTTTAAAGTTCTAATTTCTACATGTATTTTAAACACTTCTTAAAGGGAAACTGCACCATTTTATATTTGTATCCAAATACCATTGTAAAGAAACAAAATAGCTTTAGCTTCTTTTGAAATAAATTGTCTCTTTGAAATCTTTAAGAAGTTTCAGAAGACTAATCAAACTTTGAAAATTTATCAAAAAGAAAAAATACTACACTTCTTTTATGAGAATGAATTATGTAAATTGACATTTACTAAGCAAGACATGTTATGCCAAAATTTGCTCACAGTGCTACTGTAAAACCTTGTTCAAAAAATTCTGTCTAATACAGTAAAACATTGCTTCTTTACAATAAAAGTTAGTATTCTGTAATTATATAGACCAATGGTAACCTTGTACCAGCAAAATGAAAAAAAAAAATAAAGAAATAATTTAATATGCTTATAACTCCTACACAGACTTTCCACAAAATAAAATGAAATATTCAAATGATGGTATTAAAGATTGCCTACTTAAAAAAAAAAAAAAAAAAAAAAAAAAGATTAAAGAAAACAACAAATGAAAAACATTGAAAATTTCTATTTCCTATCCCATTGTATCTCCCCTACTCATAATTATGGGTAGGGTTATATATCCCTCTAGAAAAAAGTTAGAATGAAAGAAAACAACAAATACAATCTCTAATATTATTTGTTCAGTGAGTAATCTTGCACATGGTTTTCTTGTCTACTCTTACCTGTTGTGATTTCTTCCATTAAGCAAAACAGATCTTTTGCATTAATCTATGATTACACAGCTTACAATTTTTTTTTACTAATTTTAGCATGTTAACTTAGAGCTTCTTTTCTCCACTTAGACATTGGCATGTTCATTTAGTTAAGTACTCCATATGGTGCTCAGAGTGGTACATGTAAGAGACTTATACCAGGCACCAGGCCTTCTTAGTTCTACTCCTCATCAGCAATTTCTGACTCCTGTCCATCACTCAGTATCTCACACGTATATTTCCTCTGGTTTCTTGACCTTTTCCTGTATCGAACTCCAAAATTATTTTATTTTTTTCTAAGATGACAATGAACACTTGTTGAAGAAAATAACACAGTTAACAGTTACTTAATGTATACATAACACAACTTTCTTTGCCAAGCTTTTTTCTTTTTCTTCACATAAAAAAGCTTTTATTTTCATTCTGGGCAGCTTTTTGACAGTTAGTGAAGAGACCATCTTTTTTACTTCTGGTTAAGACTAAGCAGAAGGACACTGAAGAGCTATAAGGTAGGGAATATTCTAGGATAGGTATAAACAATATCTCATTCCCCTAGTGCAATATTAGGCTAGCCTACCCTTGTAACAGGGTCTCAAGGCTACCCATTTGTCTTATTTTCTCCAGCTTGCTTTCTCTCATAGTCCCAAATTTAAATAACCTCTAAGTTTCCATA